TGAGACTGGGGGGATATTTGAGATAGTACTGCTGATTCTATCTGGGTCTTGGGTAATGACCAAGGACACATTCTAGCACATGCTACGTAATAACTAAAAAGTAAGCTACAGCTGTCATAATTAAGAGATTAACATTAAATGATACAAAAATAAACAGAGCATGTCTGTTTATTCTCAGGGCTTATTAGAGGTATCACTAAGACATTTGAAGTGCTAAAAATTGCTGTTCTTTCCAGCTGCTAATTTGATCATGATATGATACAGTTCCATCTCATCAGAGAAGATGGAATTTCAGTCAACCATTTCAAGTTCACTTTAGCTGGGAGTTTATGCCTGGTTATCCAAAATACATAGTTCAAGAAAAATTACTAGTTAATACAGGAATTTTGTTAGTTGTTTCAAGCATAGAAATGAGTAAGTTTTAAGCTATGTGAATCAACAAATGCTTTTGAGTTACTTCTAAGTGCCAAGAACTGCTTCAAGTGTTAGAAAACTATGATAAGAGTGACTACAAACACAGAGTATTTACTGTTGATTAAAAGAAGCTAATACCCTTGATTGGCAGTTCACTTACAGCTTCAGGGAACCAAGTGTTTTTGTCTTTCATTTCTCCTATTATTTTGAAATTTTCCTTCAGGCTTTTGCCTTGTGACCACAAAATACCTACTTCAGCTCCAGGTGTCATGTCCTCATAGGACCATATCCAAAGAAAGAAGAATAAAAATTGTAGGGGAGAGAGAGAGAGAGAGAGAGAGAGAGAGAGAGAGAGAGAGAGAGAGAGAGAGCGCGAGAGCGCTATTAGCTTCTTTTTAACACACACACATAATAGATGCTTTTGTAATGTTGTATTTTAAAGTCTGTGCTGTCCAAAATAATATCCTCCAGCCTCATGCAGTCAGTGAGCACTTGAGCTGTGATTAGAATGATGATGAAGTGGAATTTTTAATTTAACTTCAATTACTTTAAGTTTATATACCCATATGTGTTTTGTATCTACTACACTGGATGGTCTCTTTTGGGCAGAAGTAAGTTTTGTCCCACCAATAGTTGCAAAGGAGGTTAGGAAGTGATTATTTAGCCCTGAAAGACAAAAAGTTTGAGAATGGCTTTTTTTTTTTTTTTGCATTAACTAACAGTGTATGCCATAAAAATTAAATAAGGGTATCATAGAACTGATATTGTAATGGGGGAGGATAATGATGTAAAATGTAAACAAAAAAAAGGAAGCTATGTTGGGTTTGGACAAGCCATAAAGATTATCTAGCCAGGTATGGCAACACTGCCTGTTATCCTAGCAACCCAGGAGGCTGAGGCAGGAGGGTCACAAGTTTGAGGACAGCCTGTGCCAGTTAGCAAGACCTTGCTCACAATGAAAAGAAAAAAGGGCTGAGGATGTAGCTCAGTGGCAGAGCATCCCTGAGATTAATCTCTAGAATAAAGAAAAAAAAACCCATTAGTCTCAATAATTTATCTAGAGTCTAGATTAACATAATAGAGGGTGATGAAAACTGGGAGACAATGATTTAAAAAGAGAGTCCATAAGCTCACTGTCCAGTAAAAAAGGAAGACAGGTATATAAAAGAATTGTTAATAATAAATATGGATACACATGTTCATTATATATTATATATACATATATTTATAATCACATGTTTAAACACATATGCACATGTTTATTATATATATATATTTACACGCATACATCTATACACACAGTTAATACAGTTTATCTATTGAGAAGAGCAAATATCTCTGAGTGTTTCTCTGGGATCACCTACAAGCTGCATATAATATGGCAAGACAGGATTCGCAGCATAGCAGCTCTGGAATGTGGTCTATCTACCATCCTTAAAGCAACAGTTGATGCAATAGTGTTTTCCGGCACTAAGTGCACATAAGTATGGTTAACAAGCAGTTTCTCAGTTTCTATAGGACTTTCTAAAGTGGCACAACCACAAACATAGTAGGGACTTTGAATGGACCTATGAAGTCCTATAACTTCAACTAGTGTTATATTCTTAAGGCCTGAGGGGGATCAGCAGTAGATAGACCTGTCTGGCAAGAAGCTGTCAGGGATGGGGTAGCTTAATGCAAACTTAGGTTCTGTGTGACTGAAGGGTAGAAGACAGGAAGTTTCAGATAGTGTCATCCTCTGAGATCTTTAGAAGTGGAAAGGACTGCTTTCATATCCTCATGAATCCGTGATAATACAAAATAATATCTGTGCCTTCCAAGGACTATAATATTGTTACTTTGAAGGCCCTGTTCAGCTTTAATATCCTATTTGTGATCTCTAATGATCTTTATTTTCAAAGACGTTTTGATCTTTGTGCAAGAACAACTGATACTATCCATAAAATAAAAACATTTCTTTCATATTTCTCCTTGGATTAACTTGTGAAATCTATTTTTCTCATAATTCTATACTTTATATAACTTTCTTGACTTTAGGGAAGCAAAAAGAAGACATGTATTAAATTGATGTTAGTTGTGGTAAACATATTTCAAAATTAGATAAGTACATTATTACTTCAAGTATTGGCTTTAAAGTATTCATACTTGAAGTTAACATGCCAATCTATAGCTATATGGTAATTAAAAAATTCCCTATTTCTATGTAAGTTTTTACTTAATAAAAAACAGGTGATGATGATCATCAATAATTTTGTTAAGGAATAATAATTCTTCAAATAAATTCAAGAGAAATGTGAATTTTTACCCATCTTAATACAGGTTACCATTTTGCCCTCTAGGACTATATATATATGTTTAAAAGCTACTTAATAATGGTGATAATCTCCCACTATTTATTGTAGTGTCCAGACCCGGTACATCACCAACAGGGCAGCCACCAGACACTTAAAACTCAAATTTACATTAATTAATATGAAATAGTATGAAAAACACACTTCTTACATTTCAAGGGCTACACAGCCACAAATGACCACCCTCTTGGACAACAAGCCCATAAAAATTTTTTTCTTTTCTTTTCTTTTTGCAATGTAGGGAATAGAATCCATGGACTCCATGCTTGGAGCTGTACCACTGAGCTACATTCCCAGCACCAGATCTAGAACAAGTCTATCATCATGGAATGCATTATTAGACAGTGCTGGATTCTTTTGGGTTTATATAGTTAAATCACAAAAAGTGTTGGTCAAATAATCTGCTCTTCAAATTTATTTAAGTGTATGGCAAATGGGGATCATTTACTATTGAGAACGTTAAATAGATTCCTGGGAATTGATCTCTGAAATAAACTTCATAGGGGCTAAGTACTGCTGTAAACCCAGGCAAGAAAAGCCTGCCCTGGCCTTGCATTTCAGAAGGCAGCAATCTAACTCCTCTCCATGGGGTGAAAAATCTCCACGGACCATGTGCAGAGCCTTTCTACTCTGGACTATGTCCCTGGGACTCAGACCCTGGTATTTTCAGATGAAAATTGCCGCGCGAAATTCCAGACCTTGGGCTGCCTCTTTTCAGAATCCTCTTTTCAATTCCGGACCAAGTAACCAGTGTGTGCACTCTTGGGCCCAAGGAGCAGCTAAAGGGTGGCCCTTGGAAGGGATGGAGAGAGCTTGGTGGAGTGGGCTGGGGTGTCCACACCTGTAGCCAAACCCTCTTGTTGAACAGAGCTGGGCACAGGAAGCAAAAGGAGTGGAGGTGTACAGGCCAAGATTCAGGTCCAACCCTCTCCAGACTGTCATTCTGGATAGAAGAACTCCCAGGTGTCTGTGAGTTCTGCATTCAAACATGCCTTTCGGTTATTTTGCAGGTATATTTCTCAAGGTAGAATAAAATTCATTTTACTTGTTAACTTGATAGATTCCTTGTAAATTTCAAATATAGGGTAATGATCCCTGGCCTTGCAAATGTTAGGGCAGGGTCTGTGTTCTTAGACTCAGTCGGCCTTTCCTGGCGGTTTGATCACTATGGCTCCGACTGGTTAACTTTTCGCTATCTGTGGGCTCTGAGAGAAACTTTTTTTCAAAAGGCTGCTAGCCCAGCGAGACCTCCATGCAACCTTTGAAGGCTCCATAGTTGTGGCTGAAGGCTAGAAATAGCTTGAGTTCATTTTATTGGAGAGGAACCTGTATGAGGAACACAGGAGACTACTCTAGTGAGATGGGAAGGCGATGCCTTTCCTGATACCTGGTTTGGGGTGCTTTCACCCTCGGGTCGGGTCGTGAGAAGGAAACTCAGCTCTCTAGCAGCCCCTGGCTCCATCCTCAGGGCTGGGTTCCTCCGGCGCCTCGGGCGGTCCCAGGAGCGCACAGCGCGGCTTTGTCTGGAAGGCGACGGCGAAGAGAAAACTGCGGGAGGGCAGCCACCACGACTGGAGTTTGGACTAGAACTTTGTTCCACGCCCTGCACGAGTTACTGTCCTCCGCGGGCCCCGCAAACTCCCGCTTCC